CCTGTTCACCAGGGCTTCTAGGACAGTGCTCCATGCTGTCCCATGGAATGGCACAGAAGGGCAGCCATAAAACCCAAATTGCTGCCGTCACTTGTCACTTTTTTTTCCTTAAAGTCTTTCTGTTAGATTATACACTTTCTTAAAACCTTTTTTTAAAATTTTTTTATTTTAGAGGGGACAGGCAGCTTTTCAAAATGAAAGCTCAGGCTGGGCACAGTGGTGCACGCCTATAATCCCAGCACTTTGGGAGGCTGAGATGAGAGAATTGCCTGAGCCCATGAGTTCAAGATCAGCCCAGGCAACTTGGTACATCCTTGTCTACAATAGATCACAAAATTAGCCGGGTGTGGTGGCACACTCCTATAGTTCCAGGTGCTTGGAAGGCTGAGGTGGAAGGATCACCTGAGTCCAGCAGGTCGAGGCTGCAGTGGCCATGAGTATGCCACTGCACTCCAGTCTGGGCGACAGAGTGAGACTCCAACTCAAAAAAGAAAAACAAAACAAAATGAAAGCTTGTGGTGTGTATCAGATGACTGTCAGCCCTTCTGCTTGTCATAGCCAAACCTGTTCTGAAGGAAGTGGTTCTGGTTATGCTGAGGGTCCAGTCATGCCTCTGCACACATGGTGCAGGGCTTGGAGTCTCCTCCCATGACCTGGCAGATTATTCTTGTCTGCCTTTCCTCTGCTGGTCTTCTCATCAGAGAGCCATGGGAGGGCCTGTAAACCCCGTACAGATCCTTCTAAACCAAGGAACCATCACAAGAGCATGGATTCTGCCTGAGTTACTTCCCCTATGAGAAATCATATCTCAAATACATAATCTGGTATTATAACTGAAGAAATAAAGTATCACTTCTGGCCCACCTGACTTCTCCCTGAGCATGAGATAGTACTGTTCCTTCTAGGAGCAGGTAGCTGGCTCTCTTCCTGTCTGGGGTGGATACACTGGAATAAATGAATAAGAGAGAGAACATAGAGGTGATGTTTGGGATTGCTCCACCGATACAAATTTGCCTTGGCTATATGGGAGTTTGGTGAGGACGACATCAGGCCATGGAGAGTTTAGGAAAATGCTTGAGTTGTTGTTGGTCCCAGGGCCTTCTACTTCTGATGGAAGAACCATGGGTGATGGCCTCCAGGTGACCAAAGAAAGAAAACACTGACTGAGAGTGGGGCGGGGTAGGGTGGGATGGGGTGGGGGAGACTGTTTAAGTTAAAACTTATGAGACAGCTGAGCTGTGGGGAAGTTTCAATATCTAAATACAATAAGATCTCCCATTCAAGTACTCATCAGGTCAGACCCTGCTTAGCTTCCAAGATCAGATGAGATCGGGCACATTCAGGGTGGTATGGCCATAAACTACTGGCGAGATCACATCACACATATTTTATTTAAAAGTTCTTCGTATTTGCTCTGGTATGAGACAGAGCCAGAGGAAATGTGTTGCTAGTTTAGTGATGAAGATGATTTCTGGGATGGTTAATCCTTGTTCTACTTTGTTGGACAAAGACTGAGACACAGTCAAGAACTGCTTTTGAAATTTTTCTTTTCCTCCCATGGCCTCTGCTGCAATCTCCTTTTAACAACAGAACAAGGGCCTGCAAACTTGCTTTTCTGGATTGTTACAAGGCTTTATTAAAACATCATCTGCAGTCTCATGCTTCCAACGTAGCTATGCTGAATCAGAAGCCTGCAGGCCACCAGACCTCCTGTGCAGCCACCAGGTAGGGGAGTCCAAAGGCCTGGCCAGGTTCCTGGACTGGAGATGTCACAGCCCTGGTCTGTTCCTGCCTGCTGGGGATGGAGGTGGTTCAGAGGGACAAACCTCTCCCTTCCCAGCAGTGAGGAGTGATTCGGGAGTCTATGCAGCAGGTGCCCCACCTAAGCTGGCATGTGATGATGACTTTGATGCCAAACAGGCCCAATCTAAAGCAACCATTTTCATCACCAAGATCTGTCATTTCAAAGCTGCTTGCCAACTGGGTGCAGTAGCTCGCACCTTTAATCCCAGCACTTTGGGAGGCTGAGGCGAGAGGATTGCCTAAGCCCAGGGGTTCAAGACCAGCCTGGGCAACATGGCAAGACCTCGTCTCTACGTAAATCAAAAAATTAGCCAGGCATGGTGGCGCACGCCTGTAGTTCCAGCTACTTGGAAGGCTGAAGCGGAAGGCTCACCTGAACCCAGCAGGTTGAGTCTGTGGTGGCTGTGAGAGTGTCACTACACTCCAGCCTGGGTGACAGGGGGAGACTCCAACTCAAAAAAAAAAAAGAGTTGCTTGCCATCTGTGAAATCACATGCTGAGCCCCAGTCCCCAAAGCAACAAAATATGAACGAATGACTGTTTAGGATCCTCTCTTGTCAATGGCTAGGCCTGTTCCCCGCCGGATAGTATCTTGTTCTCTATACTGTGTTTGTTCCTCCCTGTCCTCTATGGGAACCAAATTCTCCTTTGTTCTTCCAAAGCTCTGATCTGTGCTAGATTTGAGTAGTTAACACGTATTCATTCGCACTCCTTTCCAGGTAATATAGTTTCATATTATTTGGGGGGCTTTAAAACGTTTTATTATGCAAAATTGCAAACATGCACAAAAGTAGAGAGACCAGCATAATGAGCCCCATGTCTGAATCAGCAGCGTCAACAATTAACACATGGCCAGTCTTGTTTCACTTACTCTCACCTTACCTCATGATAATTTATGATTTTGAAGTAGATCCCGGGCAGCATATTATTTCCTATGTAAATATTTCAGCATATATCTCAAAAAGATAACTTTTTAAAAAAGCATAACCTAAGTACCACTCATTCACATGTAAAAAAATTAACAATAATTCCTCAATACCTTTTAATATTCAGCCATTGAGGAGTTGCTGAATTTTTTTTGTTGTTGTTGGCTTGAATTAGATCTAAGGACTGTAATTTATTGATATGCCTCTTAAGACTTTTCAAATCTGTAGCAGTGGGTCTCACACTTCAGCACATATTGGAGTAATCTGGAGGTTTGTTAGAAGACAGACTACTGGGCAGTTTATGCTGTAGAATTTCTCACAGTCTGGGTGTTCCTGGGTACATCTCTGTGTTATGTTTTAACATGTTCCTCCTTCCTCTCTATTTCTAAGAAATCTAGAGATTAAGTCTGGTTCCCGTTAGATTTATGTTGGCAAGTCTACTGCACTGGTGGTGACATGTCCTTCCAATAGGAGGTCATAATATCTGGTTGCCTCTCAGCCATTGATTAGATTTATTACCTCCTTAGGGTTGCAACTAATATTCTAGCACTATTTTTTTATTTATTAGCTGACATACTTTATAAAGAGAAGCTTCCTCTCATTAGTTAATTGGTTACCCTGCAATTTGGTCCGTATAAGCTAAAGCAGAACAAATTCTTGATTTTCTCCCCTTTATTTTCCTATTTTCAAAATGAGTTGGTTCCCTGGCATCTTTCAAGATGTCCAGTGAAATCTATTTTCTTCTTTGAGAACTTTATGGTTCATGGCTGAAACATATCTGGTGTGTGTTATTATCTTTATTAATAATAGTTGCAGCCGGGCTCGGTGGCTCAGCCTATAATCCCACGGCTTGGGAGGCTGAGGTGACTGGATTGCCTGAGCTCGCGGGTTCGAGACCCGCCTAGGCAACTTGGTGAGACCTCATCTCTATAATAAATCAAAAAAATTAGCTGGGCGTGGTAGCACGCGCCTGTAGTTCCAGCTACTTGGAAGGCTGAGGTGGAAGGATCGCCAGAGCCCAGCAGGTGGAGGCTGCGGTGGCCGGGAGCGGCCACTGCACTCCAGTCTGGGCGACAGAGTGAGACTCGAACTAAAAAAAAAAAAATAGATGCAGTTATGATCCTTATTGTTGCTCAAATTGTTCTATCTTTGGTCTTTGGGAGCTGCTTCAAGGTAGCTGATTCCTTTTGACAATGATCCTAGTAGTCGCTTATAGATTCCTGGTTATTTTGATGACAAGACGTTTCAAGTGCATCTTGGATATTTTCTGCCCAAGTCCTGAAATCAGTTGCTTTTCCCCCAAGAATCCCTGGTTCCTTCTAGTGGGAAATGATAATTAGAAACCAAGATCTGGGTGCTAGGAGTGTTCATTGGTAGTGGTTAGGTTGTTTCTTTAGTGGCTAGAGCTTGAAATATGTATTGCTAGTATTTTTTAAAAGATAAAACACACGACATGAGTTTATGCTCATACTTCCAATTCAGTTCAGGACTACAGGGTTTTTTTTGTTTGCTTATTTGTTTTGGTGGGTTTTTTCCCCCCTTTTTTATAGCATAACTTCATTGATCTGTTCTCCTTTCTCTTATTCTGAAAACCTCCTGTTTAACATCATCAAAATAATTACACATTTTTAACAAAATCTCAGAATAACAATGCCAACACTGCTACAAAAATATGATTACTGGAAGAAGTTAAAATGTTTCTTTTGCAATTCTGTTGGTCCTCAAGGTTTATGCCATTAGGGATATACTTAAAACTTGCTGTTTTAAAATCACTTGGGGCCAGGTGCGGTGGCTCACACACTTTGGGAGGCCAAGGTGGAAGGATCCCTTGAGGCCAGGAGTTTGAGACCAGGCTGGGCAATATAGCGAGATCCTGTCTTTACAAAATAATTAAAAAATTAGCCAAGCATGGTGACACACACCTGTAATTCCAGCTGCTTGGGAGGCTGAGGAGGGAAGATTTCTTGAGTCCAGGAGTTTGAGGTTATAGTGAACTAGGATCATACTACTGCACACTCCAGCATGGGTGACAGAGTGAGGCCCTGTCTCTAAACAAATAAAATTAAAATCACTTGGAATAGTTCCTCTCTGTGATATGCTCCAAACTAGAATCAGGATT